GCTCTGCCTGAGGCCAAGCCACACGTGGGGAGACCGGGCGCCTTCCACCTCCAGGGCGGCGAGGTCCTGCTCCGTCTGAGAGAGGAGGCTGGTGAGGTCAGTGTGGTGAGTCCTGCAGTAGTCCAGCGCCTCCTCCCAGCTCCTGTTCTCCTTCACCAGCACGATGTCTCGAGCATCTGAAGGCATGGAGGAGGAGGAGACAAGATAGCTTTACACACAGGGGGGTGGGGGGGTGGAACAAGCTGTTGAAGCCGATACCCTGGATTCCCTCAAGAAGCAGCTGGATGAGATCCTCCAATCAGGACAGGGCAGCTTACACAAAGGGTAGTGGGTGTATGGTCCAAATAATCAATTGAAGAAGATAGAATATCACATACTCAGATGTTCCCCCGTTAAAGTGTGTTATTTCCAACAGCTTCAGCACACAGAACTCTATGCAGTTTCCTCCTAACTTGGGAATTAAGAACTTGTTCCCTTATTTCTGACTAAACTGATCTAACAGGTTGATCACTTGGAGAACAGACAACTGGGAGTGACACAGGGTGAGTGCCCCCTACTGGTCACACTAACTTCTCTTCCAGCAGTAACCTCAGCTTTCCCAGGAGTCTCCCCTCCAGGTAGTGACCAGGCTCACACCTGCTGGGCTGCAGTGGGCTGCCAGCTGTGAGCTGTGGGGGAGATATGGTTGCCGTACCTCCTGTGAGGATCAAACTCATGACCTTCATATTATGAGACCGATGTGCTACCTACTGGACAGACACTGTATCAGATACACTCAGAATATGCCCATAGCAGGAATATCCAGGATTTGACATTGTATCAGATGTCCTCAGTGGGAGTGACAATGTATATGACACACCCTTTGTGGGAGGGGCACTGAATTAAACACGCCCACAGCAGGAGTGACAATCTATGAGACACTCCCACATCGAGTCAGTGCTCAAGTCTGATTGGTCGGCTCCAGCTCACACACCTGAGTGAGGGCGAATGAGTCCTCCCCCCATGAGCACAATTCCCAAAAACAATTCAGCTTCAGAAGGGCTGCCAGTGGATGTAAAGAGAGACCTCGAGTGGAAAAATGAAATGAATGATCATGTTAGAAAAACGTTCACCTGCAGCACGATCCAGAAGAGACAGTTTCCCCAGAGCTGACGGCCTCTGTGCTAAACCTGCATGAATAACTTCTGCACGAGGGGAAACACATGAACCTGTCTGTCAGCCTGCTGGAGCTGTGAGAGGACTCACCCCCAAGACAGAGGAAGGGAAACGCACGTCCACAATTCTTATCGATCAAGGCTCCCCTGGACGGACTGCTCAGAGACAGCAGTACACACTTCTCATTGCCACCCATGTTGTTCGGCTCCCCTGTCGTCCAGTTTCGGAATGACGAGTCTCCCCCGTCGGACCACTCCCAGGGCTCGTTGAACAGCCCGATCCAGAAGACGCTGCCC